GATAAAGGAAAAAACTGCCCATCCGAATACACAAAAATTTTAAACTTCATATGGTATACACAAGGTAAGTTAATATGTGGGGGCAAGTATTTTCAACAGGCACAGACAATAACTTTAATGTGTTAAAAGAGGATTTCTAAATCAAAAGTACACGTTCCTCTTTTATTAGCCTAATCAGCTTCCCCTCGAACATACAACAAAATAATTTTAATTACATAATTATTAGTCAGATTTATGCTAAGCACTTTACAACCATGTGAAGTATGATCCTCAATGAACTAAAATACAAGTGCAGGGTACTGGTTTTACATAAGATGTCTCTACATGAACAAAGCAGAAATGAAGGTGGCTTTAGTAAGTAATTTGTTTCGCTATTCACTGCCTGAACTTCTCTCTTCAAAAATGACTTCAGGAAAGAGGGAAAGAAATATCTCTACTAAAAAGAGTAGTGTGAAAATAGTCAAACCTTTCTCAGCTACATTAGTGGTTCTCAGTCTTTGGTTTTGTAACACTAACCTGGGGCACATATCTAAAATATAGATTCCCAGACCCCCACTAATAGGTCTGGTTTAAGCAGATCTGGACTCGGGCCTAAGGACAGGATTTTTCCCAGAGGTCAGAAATTGAAAAAAAAATTCTTTTGGGGCACCTGGGTGGCTCAGTGGGTTAAAGCCTCTGCCTTAGGATCAGGTCATGATCCCAGGGTCCTGGGATCGAGCTCTGCATCGGGCTCTCTGCTCGGCAGGGAGCCTGCTTCCCTTCCTTCCTCTCTCTCTGCCTGCCTCTCTACCTACTTGTGATCTCTGTCTGTCAAATAAATAAATAAAATCTTAAAAAAAAAACTTAAAAATTCTTTTGATTAAAATTTAAAATGACTGAGGGGCCCCTGGGTGGCTCAGGTGGTTAAGCACCATATTCTGGGATTCAGCTTGAGTCCTGATCTCAATCAGATTGAGCCCTGTATCCCTAGATCTGTGCTAAGTGGGGAGTCCGCTTGGATATTCTCTCTGCCCCTTCCCCCAACTGCACGCTCACTCTCTCTCACGTAAATCATTTTTTTAAGATTTTTTATTTATTTGAGAAAGAGCACAAGCAGGGGGAGGGAAAGAGTGAGAAAGACAATCCTCGAGCAGACTCCCCAGACTGACTGAATGAGGAGCCCAATACAGAGCTCAATCCCAGGACCCCAGGATCATGACCAGAGCCAAAGGCAGATGCTTAAATGACTGAGTCACCCAGGCACCTAAATGAGTAAATCTTAAAAAAAAATTTTTTTTTTAATTTAAATGATTGAAACTGTCACCACATGGCTACAGTTTTACTATGCTAGACACCATATTCAGTCATCCATTCAAGCTACTTCACTTCAATTCCCCAACCCAATATCATACTCTTACCTCTAATCTAACTTCTGAGGAAATGTATTCAAGGTTCACACAGCCAAACATGTACTAAAGCTAAAGTCTGTCTCCAAAGCCGTAAACATGCTCAGTACCTCCTACTACTGTTCACAAGATCCAGGAGAAATGAGAACTCAATGGCCTCACCAGTGAGGTGACTTGACACACAAACAGCATGGTGGGTCCAGAAATGGTTACCACTCAAATGCTTAGTAGTTTCTTGATTCCCCACTTCACACCACCATACAGCTACAACAGGATGAAATGTTGATAATCACCATCAAGATTCATCAGTGAAATGTGACAATTAATCATCCTGAGTAGCTAAAGTCATAAACAGTCTAACTTCTTCTACAGAAGTCCTGTATTTATATTGAGTAACTTAATAACAGTCTGTCCATGTCAAACAGCTTAAGAAAGTTTCTCTATGTAGAAGAGCCACTGCCTAGCCAGATTCCCATCTTTATTTAAGGCATCACTCATCTCCAATGCCAATCACGTTATCCAGTCTACCACAAGCATATGCAAGTAACACAGAGCCAGAGAATCAGAAATCACCATTCTTGACAACACTGACTAGTCCCTGGACGGACATGTGATTCAAACAAGTCCAATGAGAGCCTTTTCCTAGAAATTTTCATTTGAGATTAGAGAAGAAACACTGCAAAGATCCCATGACCAAAGCCTGTCTACAGCGGAAGAGAGTTAAGAGAGTCCTAGTCCTGAAGGTACCTGGAGTTCCCCGGGGGAATTTTCCTTTCAATTTTGCTCCTGCCAACAAGCCATATAAGCCTATAAGTAAGTTTTGCTTAAGTCAATTGTACTGGATTTTAATCACTGTCAGTTTAGGATGCTATTTACAAATTAACTAAGGTTAGTATTATCTATGTTTTACAGGTGAGAAAACTGAAGTAGATAGCTGGTCAAGTTTTCACAGCAGAGAGAGGAAGCGAACAGGTTTGTCTGACTCTAAGACCTGCATATTTTCTAAATACCAAAATATAATGGATTCAAACAGGATACACTAATTAACAGATTTCACTGAAAAGCTGTTCCTATCATTTTAGAAATTTTACTTTGAAAACTCACAAGGAACTTTCCAAGTAATTTACTGTCATGGAATTCCATGCAATAGACACTTTCTATAAGATTTGACCAATAAAACATAGTGGGTATAACTAGATTTCGTATTTTAAGTGAATGAGAAAAATAAGGTTTTTCAGGTAAGACTGCTTCAAAAAAGGTAACAATGCAATGATAATCGAGCCCTACCAAAAAGGAAGATGCTGCTTGCCTCATACCCCATTTGCCACCAAAGGAACACTATGCAGAGTAGATTTTCATCACAGAAGCTTTACAGAAAAAGCCCTAATGAATCAAAAGCTACAATCCTGGTCCAATTATTGATGCCTTCTGGACCCTTGTCAAATGATTTATACATAGGAAGAGAAGTTAAAGACAGGTATCTTCTACATATCCTGTGATAGCCAAAAGAGTTGACTAAACTCTATGAGAAATCTTCAAAAATGTTATAAATAATATCTAAAATTAAGACTCCTAATGTTTTAAGAACTCTTCTGACCTTAATCAAATTGTAGAGTAAAAGTGTTAACAATCTAACTTTTCATGTTGTTCCTCTGCCCAAAGTTCTCATACAAGCATGCAATGTACTTCACCACATTTTTACCAAGCCTAAAACACCTTCAATTTTAAGTTACAGTCATGCCTCGTTAAAATGAGAAGTTATGCCGCTCAGATGACCCGTAAATATACAGCTTTTTAGTTGACTTGGACACATCAAACTTGAAAATTCAGTAATAGCTCTATAAAAACATTTATTAAAACTAAGTGCTGGGGCAGCTGGCTGGCTCAGTCAGTTTACACACGACTCTTGATTTGGGGTTGTGAATTCCAGCCCCAATTTGGACACAGAGATTACTTTTTAAAAAATTACTGATGGGGCGCCTGGGTGGCTCAGTGGGTTAAAGCCTCAGCCTTCGGCTCAGGTCATGATCCCAGAGTCCTGGGATAGAGCCCCAGAGCATCGCGCTCTCCACTCAGCAGGGAGTCTGCTTCCCCCTCTCTCTGCCTACTTGTGATTTCTGTCAAATAAAGAAATAAAATCTTTTAAAAAAAATTACTGAGGTGCTTATTCTATATTTCAAGTAACTTTGTCCAAATCAGCTAGCCAAGCAAATACAACTTATAAAAATCTGTCACAAAATAAAGTATAAGTCTCTGAGACAAAAAAGCACTAACAATGAATGTCACTCTACCAAACTGAAATCTCATAATCATCATAGCCCAGTTTCAGCCAATGTTTTAAAATGTTGCTTCTTTATGATTCTACCCACTACAAAAATAATTTTCTTTTCCATAATTTTAAATGCTTCCCAATCCATAAAAGACCATGAACAGCATTTTGTGAGCCTCATTATTCATGAGCTCATTCAGGTCGTCAGTCACCGCCTTTCCCAGGGCAGAGAAGTTAAGAGCTGACAAACCTGACTGGAAGTAGTTCTGCTTTAATGAATGGAGTCCAGGATTCCTCTGACAAAAACATGACAGTCCAGCTTTCCCCGGACTGTTGCTCCTATGCCCAAACGTCCTCCCCCTTTTATTTTGAAAACGACCATCAACTCTCAGAAGAATGTTAAAGAGCCTGCAACTGACCTGCCCTCCCCCCTATCAACCGCATACTTCCTGATACCAAAGCAGAATTTTCCTCTTAGTAAGGGAGCGCTCTGAGTCGTTCCCAAGGAGGTGCCCACCAAAAAAGGAGCCTATTTTTCAAGGAAGGGCAAACGCACGGATTTTGTTAAGCTATCGTAATGCGCCGCATTCTTTTTAAAATCTCACGTAGATTCCAACTCTGGCAGTGATTTGTGCAAATCCACGCAAGTCACTATGTTGCCTTTTATACACCGATTTTTTTAAAGAAAAATATCCATCCCATCCCACGAAACACGTGAGTGAACATGTTAAGTATGGCTCTTTTCCTAACTTACAGTAAGTTTCAGGGCAGACCGATGTTTCCTAAAAAAAAAAGCAAAATACTTATAAAAGCTCTATCCAGATTTAACTAAGACTAACAATGAACATTTAAGCGTTAACATACAAAAATTAGACGCCCCGTCCAGAAGAGGGGGAAAGACTGAACTAGGGCGCCAGCCTGATGTTTAAATATCTCAACTTAAACTCCATGGAAACAAGAGGGAATTCCCACTAGCCAGACAGCAAAAAGGCTTTTTTGTGGGGCACCTTTTACTTTCAATGACTTCTGTAAGGGGATGGGGGGAGCAACTGTCAGTTAAAAGTTGAAAATTAATTTCTATCCGCTTTAAAAAGCGCAGAAGGAATGGGTCAGAAGACAAACACAAAGAGCGTGGAGTGCTCTCGGGCTAGGCTCACCCCCGGATGGAGGGGAAGGAGGGAAAAATGAGAGAAGGGGTCAGAGACTGCGGCAAAGAAGCGGGAGGCGCGGGCCGGGCGGCGAGAGACGCCGGACTGACCCGCGAGCAGCCCGAGCCGGGCCGAGCCCCGCGCCCCCGCCGCGCCCCTGGCCCCGAACCCGGCCCCCTAACTGGGAACCGCCCGTACCTGTCCGAGCGGCCGGAATGAGCTGCGGGTCCCACGCTGCCCACCCCTCTCGCGCCGCCGCGTCCGCCGCCCGGGAGCCAGGAAGCCGCCGCGGCCTGCGGCTTCCCGCCACCTCCGCCCGCTCCTTCCTCCAGCGACACGGCGAGCTGGCTGAAGGCGTAGAGGAGCGAGCAGAAGCCGCAGGCCAGGCACAGCACCACGATGCGCAGATAGCGCCGCATCGCCGCAGCCCCGCGCCTCAGCCTTAGCCGCCACTGCCGCCGCAGCCGCCGCCACCTCCGCACCGCGCCCGCCGGGCGAACTGGAGCGTAGGGGACCGCACAGCGCAGCCGCGGCCGCAACAAGTTCCTCCTCCGCCGCGGCCTCCAACCCGCCCCGCCTTCCTCCTCTCCCTCCCTCCCTCCCTCCTCTCCTCCCTCCCTCCTCTCCTTGCCTCGCCCGCCCAACCACCTTCGCCTGCTAGCCTACTACCCGCCTGGAGCTCTGACACCGCCTCCGCCGGCTTGGGTCCCTCCCCGGAGCTCCGGCAGCTAGCGGACGCGCAGGCGCAGTGAGCGCGAGAGAGCTGGACTGGCCGGGGTGTGAGGGGAACGCCAAAGGAACGCGTCTGAACTCCCAGTGGCTCGGCACTGCAGAGGAGGGGTGTGGCGAAATGAGCTGGGCGTTGGGGACCGCTGACCCAAATTCAAATTATGGTTCTTCCACATGGTAGTCTGTGACGTTGAGCAACCTCAATTCTCTGAGCATGTTTCTTCTCTAAAACGGAGATAATATCCTCCTCATAGGCTGGTTGCAAAGATTAAATTGCTTAACGCACGAAAAACACCTTGCACCTGGAAGGCATTTGATTAAGCCGTTTTTCAGTTCCATCCTCCGCAGCAGGGACTTCCCCAGCCTCTAAGTTTCTGTAATACTGTACGAGCCATTTCATCCAGGTATTTAATTACCTCGTAATGCTGTTGAGCATGTGTATCTTGCCTCCTAACGAACTTGTTAAGGGCATGTTCAACTGTGGTCGTCCCTGTTACATCTTTTTCGATCTTTTTGACCTAATGTTCTCCCTAAAGCTTTCTCTTTTTAGCTTTCCATTTCTTCTCTCTTCAGCCATATTTCCATTCCATTCATTTATTGAACATTTATAAAGCACCACTGTGTGCCAAGCACCACTTGAGTACTTTGGGGTATAAAGACACATAATTGGGCATGGGGTGGGACAGTAAATAAGTACATAAATAAATGGGACTTATAAATAACTGAAAATAAGTAAATGAAGGACAATAAGCAAATAAGTGGGACTCTCAAATAAGTGCAATACCAGGATACAGACATTAGGATATATAAAAGCTTGTGAAGGTGTGGGCAAACACAAAAAGGAGTGATCAGTTTTACTGAGGTCATGGTCAAGAGGCACTGGTAGTAAAAGAGGCATCAGAGTCTTGGCTGGGGAAGGGAGGGAATTGCAGGCTGAGGGATCAATGAAACAGGTTCTTGTGTTTAGGGTACTGTGAGAAGTTTGATACAACCAGCTAAGTGAATGCAAGAGAGGGTGTGATGAGTGATAAGACTAGAAGTTGAAGGGGACAGATATTTGAGTGCCTTGGTTAGTATACCAAGGAGTTTGAACTTACTCTAGCAAACAGTGGTGACCATTGAAGGGTTTCTAAATTAAGAAGTAACATGATCCCATTTGACTTTTAGAGAGCAGGTTCTGGCCCCACTTTGGAGGCTGAAACAAAGATTAAGATTGGAACCAGAAAGCAGTTACAGTGCCACAAAGTGAGGGAAAGAAGGCTTTAAACACACATACACACACACACACACACACACACACACACACTTCATGAAGAAAAATCATGCTGCTAACCTGTTCAAATGCATTTGGAGCTTTTTTTTTTTCTTTTTACTATTTCATTTATTTATTTGAGGGAGAGAGTAGGAGAGAGCACAAGCAGGTGGAACTGCAGAGGGAGAGGGAGAAGCAGTCTCCGCACTGAGCAGAGATTGATGCCAGACTGGATCCCAGGCCCCTGATATCATGATCTGAGCAGAAGACAGACACCCAACCACTGAGCCACCCAGGTGCCCTGCATTTGGAGCTTTGAAGTGTTTGGCCATGAGAAATAAAGTGGGGATATGCTTTTTAATTTAGCAGTGATTCTCTGTTTGAAATCCCTACACCCAAAACTGGTGGCTCTGTGACCATAGGAAAGTTACTAAATAAATTTAAGCCTCAGTTTTTTCTATAAGGATTACATTTCTTGACTTACCAGACAAAAAATGAAAACTAGCAGGCTATCAAGATGTGTAAGTATAAGGAAAACATACACTTATTCATTCAATAAACATTTATTGAATATATTCTACATGCCAGACACGGGGCTAGAGTGTACTGCCCTCAAAGGGACGACAGGCAAGTAAAAATAATGACAATATTAAATTAATCCTTCTACTAAACCTTACAATTTTTAGAGAAATAAAGATAAACTTAATGAGGTACAGAGATGGATTGCAAAAGCATTTATAAGACTGGAAAATAGATTTTGAGAGAGAAAAAGAAAGGATATGGTACCAAGAAACTGGAGTAAGAAGTAGTACTCAAATAAATCAAAGATGTTTAAAGAGATGCCTATCACAATTGTTTTCTATTTCAACAAAGAAACTAAATGTAGGAAAAACAAAGAATAATGTAATGCCCCACAGGTCATTAAAATACTGGAATGGCAGTTTTCATTCTGCAACAATTTATGGGACAAGCGCATCCAGAAGAATAATCATTCATTTACTTGACATCAAGGTTGTGGACCATATCACACCCCTTTAGGTTCCTTTTAATCCTGTAATTAAAAATTTTGTTGCAAAGTATATAAGGCATTCCAAAATTAGAAATGATTTTTGTATTACCCACAGTGTTAACTGGTTATCTTGGAGTATAAGGAGCCATTCACATGCCCTAATGATAATTTCCAGGATTCATACATTTTTATAGTTTTTTTTTAAGTTTTATAAATTTAAGTAATCTCTGCACCCAGCATGGGGCTCAAACTCATGACTCCAAGATTAAGACTCAGATGCTTTTCTGACCGAGCCAGTCAGGTGCCCCTAAGCATTTTTATATCTGTGAAATTAATTTTAAATTATTGAAAATGATTTAAATGTTTGACATCATGATAGGTATTTCTTTCATTTACTGTGTGTATGTATATACTCCTAAGTCTACTTTTTCATTTGTAGACCACCCCGTAATTCTCTAGTGACAGGCTGTCTATATACAAATTTTTAATCTATGTTGATCTTCCTGTCATTCTGTCAAAAATGTTAACCTAGGTGGACAAAAAAAATTTTTAAGTAGCAACACTTGTTTAAATTATAGAGATAGAGACCTCCTCCACAATCTAGAAAACTCTCAGATTTAGGATAATCCAAATTTCAAGAATCTTATATTCAAAAGATTAATCTTGGTTATTCCTATAGTTCCTGGTACATTTTGAATATATAAGACATTCCATTAATGTTTTTATTTTTTTAATAAATCTTCTCTAAATCACTCTATAACAAATTTAGGGTTCTGCTCAGCATTTCCTTCTCCATCCGTTTACTTTTTAGGACTTCTTTCAAAAAAAAAAAAAAGAAGAAGAAGAAAAGGAAGAAGAAGAAGAAGGAGGAAGAGAAGAAATCATCTTCGGGGATCTTTTCAGAGTAAAGTTCAAAACTTTTTAAAAATAACTTCGGTTTTAAAGGTCTATGCATAATCTGATTCAAACCTTGTAACACATATATGAAGATGTTATTTAAAAAACAAGGAACCTGAAACTCAAGTTTGTTAACCCCATCACTAATAATGAAGATTCATAATTCAAATGGAAATCTTTGAGGATCCAACACACATTTTTTCCCCATTATACCATACTATCTCTAAACAAATAAATGCTAAATTGAGTGATGCAATTAAAATAAAAGCAAAAAGGAAAAAACCTAGGTTATGTGAAAACCTCTTAGACTGTTTTTTGGGATTAAAACAAAATTTACAATCAGAGAAATACAAGTCAGATTAGTTGCAGAACACAAAGGATCAAAAACTCAGACTTAAAGTGAAAACCAGTCTCTCTTCCAGTTGGCTTCTAATGAAATCTCTTCATTTCCCATAGTCCGTTTCCTAGAAACCTTGTGGGACCAGAGGAAAGAAGTTGAAAAAGACTATCGTCAGTTTGAAAAAAAAGTATTTCAGTTTAGGTGTTCATTCAGATCAGAAAATGTGGGGGGAAAGTAGAATCAGGGGTAGGATGAAAGAGAAAAGCAATTCTCTTCATTCTTAATTCTCTTCATACTCAGCTGTAGACCACATGATTCGAAAAGAAAAAAGTGGTAGTGTAAGACCAATGAATGGGGACACCTTAGCTTCTATATGATCCCTGAATTTAGCTGGAGGGAAGAGTATAGAGAGGGTGGAGTAGGGAAGGGAGTAAGGAATATCCTCTGGACCATCCCTGCACTTATCCCCCATTCAGTCTTCAGGAACCCTCCATTTCCATTATTACAATGAATTTTGTTTTTTTTTAATTTTTTTCAAAGATTTTATTTATTTGACGGAGAGGTCACAAGAAGGCAGAGAGGCAGGTGGGGTGGGGGGAAGCAGGCTCCCCACTGAACAGAGAGCCCGGTGTGGGGCTCAATCCCAGGACCCTGAGATCAGGACCTAAGTCGAAGGCAGAGGCTTAACCCACTGACCCACCCAGGTGCCCCAATACAATGGATTTTAATCTTTTTTATTTTTATTTTTTTAATTAAATACTCTCAGTAAAAGTAAATGCTAGATTTGTAGGGAAATTTAGTCATGAGGAAAATTAGAATTAAAACATACATGCACAAGTTCTTTAAAACCTGCCATCAGTCGAGGTCATGATTATAACAAAAGTAACAGACCTTTTTCCTAACCCAGGTCCTTAAAGGCTGAAGACTGAAAATAATTAAGAATTCTGATACTATCACACTTCAGAAGTACAGGCCTCAGTTCAAAAAATAGAATCAGAATTCTTATTGTTACCCATATTGTTCTTTTCTACAAAGAAATTACATCACTAGACAACCCTATGTTATGTTTGGTTTCTTTTTACTTTTCTATATTTTTAATAAAGTAAAAAAAAAAAAATTCCTTTTTCCTCCGAGTTCAACTGTTCCTTGTTTATCTTATCCTGTACAGGAAACATAGGCTTTTTTATCTTCTTTGATTAAAGAACTATCTCTTGGGCCAAGATCATTTTGCTCTTCTGAGAACTCGGCCTACTTTCTGTTTTTAAAA